ATCTTCTTATAAATTTAAATTAACAAACAACTATCAGAATAAATTGAGCAGCCTATGTATCATAGTTTCAAGTTTTCAGATTCTTTGTGCATTAGCCAGTTCAAAAGATCAGCTGTGAACCTGTGAATCAGATGTGATCATCTGATAAGTAAATCATCCCATGACGATCTCTGAATAAACGCAAATCAGCAAGGTTTTATCTACCTGGATATATAGTACTATTACACACAAACAGAATACAGGTGGATCCTCTCCTGCAGGTGGCTCACCATCACAAAAAGCCTTCTTTCATTATTTGCCCTGAAAAACTGGTTATCAGCCCTCATCAGACAAAGAGAAGCCTCATGTGAAGGCTGTGCTGCGTGGGCTGACACCCATGCCAAAGCATAAAACTTAGAGAGTATGCCAAAAACAGAAACAACTTGGAAAGAAACAAGCAAACGAACAAATGTAACAAATTTGGATAAATCTAGCTAAAAGAAAATTCCCTTTTCCCAAGATGTGGAGAGGGACATAGTATAAGACATGCTCAGACCTATATCTTTGTATTTGTGAACCCTGACGGCATCTAACAGACATAATGGCAAAAGCACACACATCTCAAATGCCAGTGGTACAGCCTCTCGTTTAGGTAAAGGCATGAGTGGCACAAAGAGTATGAATGGGAATTAACAAGTTAATGTCTCTTTCGTTAAAAGAATTGGAGAGGATAAAATCAAGCTAGCAAGTAGAATCATAATAAACAAAAAAACAGTTCTTTACACTGTGCATCATTAAGCCAAGGAACTCCTTGCCCCGCAGCACCATTACATTTCAGCATTTACAGACATTGAAAGAATCATTAGACAAGTTCTTGAAAAACAGAAACATTTAGGAGTATAAAATACATAGAGATCTTGGCTAAGAAATTTGAGCTAAAATTTGCTGGATATTGATCATGCTCACGTTTCCCCTAGCATCAACTTTTGATCACTGTCGGAAGGCAGGTAACAGGCTAGATGGACTTTTAGTTTGACCCAGTACAGCCATTATTCCATTATGTTCTAAATCCGGAACAAACATATGGACTGTTGCTTCACTTTCCCTGGTGTGGTAACCTTTATTGATGAAAGATGGTTAGGTTGTCCCAGTCAGTCTGTTGGTTTTGATACTAAATGAATCCTGCTCTTTTAGTCTTTCCTGATATGTCTTTAAAGGCCTTTTAGTTTTCATCTCTCTCTCACCCCAATTGCTTTCCTCCTTTTCCACACAGTCTAAAGAGTCATAATATAATCCAAGAAATAGCTGCTCCTTTTAACTTTTTTTCCCCCCCTCAACTTTCTGAAAGTTTTTCCTGCTAGATTCTAGCCAGGTTTCTGCTATATTATTGTTGCCCAGGGATGATCAGGCAACTTATATTTCATATCACCACCAGATTATGTTTTTGAATGATGTAGTAGTCATACAAGAAAAAGGACTTACCTACTTCCTTTCTCTGAAGAGATGGTCTAGTAGACCTTGAATTCTCTTTATCCTTTCATCCTGACAAATTTTCATTTTTAAAAGAAATGAGTAGCAGACAACTATAAGTAAATAAACAAATAGACCCACCATCCTCAGACACAGCCCTGAAGCCAACTTTCCCAAACCTCCCCTTCTCTGGCTCTCGCAAGTTCCAACAGGACAGAACTGGGTGAGCCCCAGACAAAAAAAGGAAGAATAAGAGTTCTGTTCAGTCACTAGACACGTAAAATTATTTCTGTAGAGGATAAAGTATCAGCTCTCCAGGCACACACTGTTGTAAATGATTACATTCTCCATTCCCAGCTTCCCTTTGGCATTTGCAAAAGGCTATTCTACAATTTTTATGTATCTGAGTGAAATGTGCCAGGCAATTATCCACAAAACACTTCAGTTTTAGTACTTCAAGTGATTTGAACCCTTATTTGAACAAAAAATTCTGTCAGCCAGTAGACTCCTTCAAAGTACTCGTGTAACTTGACGTGATAACCTGATCTTTTTATTTTAAATTCACTATTTATGGTATATCACTTAAGTTCTGTGTTCTCTGGCCTGCAGCTTCTGTATCAGCTTACTTCAGAATTAACAGGCTTTCTGATATATGGAACATACCTACATTTCAACAAGAAAGATTAGAAAAAAAGTATCTAATGTTCACATTAAAATAAAACAATACTATGACCATCCTGCTCTATGTGATGGTAATAATATAAAATAACACAGTCAGCTCTGTGCCAAGTCTGTAATTTGTGATGAAGTCTCATTTCACATACAGAATTTAAATAATAACTAATGCTATGTCTTTATGGGGAATTGCTTTAGTGTTAAATTATCCTCTGTTTCATATTAGTAGTGTTGACTTCTGCATGCAGGTTAGAGTAGCACTGACTCTCCCATTAGTGGCTACAACACACAATATTCTCATTCATAACTCACAGCAAGCTTAAACTTAAATCTGAGAAATGACCAGAGACAATTCTGAAGGTGCTGTAACACTACTGAAACAGAAGCAGCTTAGTATTCCAAGAATCATTGATACATTAGTCATCCTCAGGTGTCTTGGCAGGGGAATGTGTCTAATCAAAGCCACTGTAGACCGTAAGTGACAGTATTTCATTAATGAAGTGATTAGGTCCACCTAATTATGTGTGTTAAATGTTTGGGGATCTTTCGTATGTTAAAACATGTTAACTATCACACATTTGTTCAACATTTAAGTCCATTCTGAAATTCAGATACATACATATATATATATACATACATATATATATATATATATATATATATATATATACACACAAAATCCATGCAGAAAAAGGTGCAGTGCCCCATTGCTCTGACATTCTTCGGTCATGGCAGAGGTAGCAGCAGAACCCGGCACTGACAACTGCTTTTTTTTTAATTTCTAAGTTTAATTCAAAACTTTTGTTTTTTGAAGTCTGAAGGAATATTTAACACACATATTTCCTACACTAAATTGTGATTTACAAGACTTACAGATTTACGGTTTGCATAACCTGATGCAGAAAAATCATAAGATTAAATCAGTGATGGTTTGATACCTATGTCATTAGATATATAATAGCAAGATTATAAAATGTCTTACACACGTGCGCTGGAAGAAAGGTGGCAAAAAGTTTTGCTAAACAATATTGTCAGCTAGTAACAAAAAAATCACAGTTAATTTCACAGTATTACTGTGTGCAGACATTTCAGTTAAGTGCCAAGCAAGTTCATTTACAGAGACTCTAAAATTAAAGCTAAGTGTTTGTAGTTTTAATCTCTATTACATAACACGGTATTTTGCCCTCGGGAGTTCACATAAAAGGGCAATGTGCTTTTAGCATATGGGACTAAGGAATATACAGTTGTTAAACTTTGTAGTCAAAGCCAAAGAAAACAACAACTAAGCAAGGTTATTTGATCTTTTCCCCAACCCAGAGTAATCTGATTCTACAGTCCAACTGAAATAGAAAATATCATATAATCTTCTATCACCATTCATGCAGATTAAATTACGGTCATGTGAACTAACTTTAGTTGTCTTTGGCAGAAAATACAAAGCTCTGAGAACAAGCATGTAATCCCCTGCCACCCCAAGTACCGACAAGGAGGTTCCTTCAGCAGTGCCAGCTCTCTGGGACAGTCATCAGTATGGTACAGTATTTGAAACATTTTAGTTTTATTTTCAGATAATTTCATTATCACAATGATCACTGTCTTTTTTGTTTATTAAACTCCTGGGAGAGAGTTAAAATTTTTAAATTTGTCCCTCAAGACACAGTGAAAGTAGAAAAACTAAGCCCCAGTGGCGGCGGGGAGGAGGTTATCTACATCTTCCAGCTCACCATTTTGCAGGTGATGGATGAAGCATCCGTTTGCCATCTGACCTTCTGAACTACGAACTACCACGCGGATTTCTGGAGTTAGCTCTTGGCTGGAGGAAAGAACAGGACAAGGAGCAGGAAACAGTAATACATTTGTAAGGGACTAGGCTACAGAAGACAAAACATGAGAGAACAGCAATGTGTGAACAAATGTTCATCAGCTGTATTTATGATTCTTTTTATTTACTAGGACATTCCTGGAAGAGATTCATCATTAAGTTAACACTGTTTTACTTGTAATCAATAATCCACTATAAAAGTAATATAGGCTTTTTCAGATTATTGCACGAAAAATTGGCAGCAAACCATTAATAACTCTTCAAAATGCACTATTATAAATCAGTTTCTGAAACTGAGTTACAGAATGTCTCTATTGTACAAAATAAATATAGTGTTAAGGAATAAAAACTAATACAATTACTTTTATTTAAATCAAGTCCAGCAAGAAAATACTTTGAATTGGCAAAAACTCCCGCCCTTGCTGCATGTATCCACAATCTAGCTACTTCATCATGACTGTGATTACATTTCCACCCTTGTCCCCAAAAATCTATTATCTTGACAAAAATACAAAATAGATAAAATATAACACAAAGCATTTTTCTTAATGTATGCTCCCATTTTCATATCTAATGCTTCATTTATAAATAGAGGCTCTTGGACACAAGTATGCATTCTAATTCTCTTATTGTGCTGTTTAAAGATTAAAATACTTTACGTGAAAAGTCCAAAGCAGTTCATTCTTTAGTCAGACTTTCAGTGAAAACTTTTTCTTTTTTTATTCAAAACCAAAATTTGTGTTTTATCAGTAAGTGACTATATGCTGATGAATATTTTAAAATAGATTTAGTTCTCAAAAGATATTGTTTATATGAATACTATGTTAATAGTATCTACAGGTATTCAAAGAGCAGAGGAGAAAAGTCATGTAGTGCTACTGCTAAGAAAAGTTTTTAAGTAGTACAAAAATTTCCCATAATTTATGTCCTGATTTTTTTTGTGCTACCAGAAAAAAAAGAAAGAAGATTAAAAATACTTATCCCAACTACTGCAGCTGAAGGAACAAAAACAAATATCCATTTTTAAGAGAAATAAAAGTATTGAATATAATTAAGATTCTCTACTAATTACAAATTTAATTTAACAAAATAATATGGAGGCAACATTTGGTAGATTTAAATTCATACAATCTGTTAAAGTATTACACAATTACAAAATTACTCATCTAAAATTCTTACATTTAGAGAAACCTGTATTTTCAGCATACTGCTACATAATTGTTCAGTCTTGAAGGCTGAAATTAACAATTTTTGATTCTCATTCCAACACAAGTGAAGCTCATCTGCACCTTCTCTTAAACCTTTTTAGCAGCATTGTCAACTTTACAAGGAGAAAAAGGCAAAATATTACCATAATTTATATAGTCTAATAATCTTTCCTGGGCAAAGGACCCAACACGAAATTCCTATACCAATCGACAAAAATATATTAACATCTACTTGCATTTACACTTTCAATAATTTGTAGCTAGTATTGAGTTGGCCTATGAAGCAGTAGTAAAGTGCGAAATATTTAGAATAATATCTAGTGATTAGTTTTTGCTTCTGTAGAATACAAAGGAGTAAGCCTGGCTCTTCCATTGACAGACATAGCATTTGGTGGAGGACCAACCTAGAGGCAAAGGAAAAAGAAGAAAAAAACAATAAATAATGTTAGCATAGCTTTAAAGATTCTTCTGTCTGTAGAAGAATACTGCACATACTGCAGAGAGAAAACTGCTCATGAAAATTAGTAATACTGTTAGTTCAGTGAGCATGTTCTTCTCATCTCAAAGAACTCAGATGATTTCCAAACAAAGTATGTACAGTGAAACAAAGTTATTTAAAACGCATTTATCCTAACTAAAAATTCAACGCATACCTATTCAAAAAATGCATATTTTTTCAAGCAGGTGTGAAAGACTCAACTACAAGTGAGTGAAATATTATCACTCCAAGCAAGTAAAGTATTTTTTATTAAATACTGAATAGAACTGATTTCTAACATAAAATCTTTTAACATTCGGTTATGACATGGAAACAGCCTCTTTTACCAGCAGATAACTACCTTTTAGGGTAGATATAAGAACTTATTTTTCAAAAGGGCTGCGTAAACCAACAAATCCGAGCAGCGTCAGTGGAAGCTGCAGATGCTCCATAGCCATGAGAAGCACACGCCATGGTACAGCTTGCTGAGTACAGTGACAATATTCTGAAGAGAAAAACGGTCAGAAGGAAACCTCACTTGACCCATTTTAGGTTAGTAATTATTGAAGGCCCCATTCAACAAAAAAAGATTGGCAACACAAAAGACCACAGATCTTGGCAGTGTATACTGACCACTTATTAAGTAAAACAAGGAAAAAATTACAGGATTTGGCTAGTGATGCTAGCACTTGTGTCTCTTGTTCTGAGCGCTTCCCTCAGAAGTGAAAGGATGGAGGATACAGGGAGAGGTGCAAGAGGAGAGACGAGCGAGCAGCTGACGGCCCTTACACAGCACAAACGACAGCCAGGCGGCCAGCGCCGCGTCCACGCTCTGCCCGTACTGGCAGTCACTGCTCGTCCTCTCACTGCGAGTTCTCCGTGCTAAACAGAAAGACTTTTAAATCCTGCCAGAGGCCAAAACACCTTTTCCCTGGTCACGAACATGTGTGCTGCTGCATGTGTGCATGTGTGCTTAGGGTCAGAGTGAAAACAGCAGAGCCTAGAATTTTACATTTGGCAAAATTTCCGTAGTATCTTCCTTGCATTTGGCTTTTGTTGTTGTTGTTGCTGTTGTTGTTTTGGTTTTCGTTTTGTGTGTGTGTGTGGGGGGTTTCACCTCTTGTTTCAGGTTTCAGTGCTGCACTATCCTTATGCTTTTGGCAGCTTCATTGTAATCAGTTCTCCCTAAAATTATAGACCTCCCTCCAAAGTCTCTGCAAATATTATACTGAGAAAGAACATCTACCCATGAAGAAGGGAGGGAGAGGGGAACAAATTTCAGTAATTCCCTCTTCTGCCCAGTACATGCTTGTGCCTAGACTGAAAAAAAGACTGTATAGGTCAAATAAACCTGCCCTGAGAACATCACTATTGGAAGGTGACAAATAACCACACACTGAAGCTTTTCTCTTCATTGTCTAACAGGCTTTCTGAATTCTGAGGAACACTTCATAAATTTTAGTTTTTTAAATAGAGTTATAAGCTACCATGACTAGAGTCATGTTCACACATACTTCCTATAGAATCATTAAAAAAAAAAGTTCAATATTTTTTGCAGGGCAGTTATGCCTTGGGATAAAAGCTATAATAAAAACATATGCAAACAAAAGCTCAACCACTATTTCTGGTAGAACAGACAGATCTGACCTCCAAATGACTCTGAACAATACAACATTTGCTTAATCTTATCCGTTTTTTTTAAGTGACTTTTGGGTAGTGACAGATGGTTTGAAGCAATATTGTACTGTATTATGTGTCTCTCTCTCTGGCTACAGGTCAACTACTACTCGAACATGCTCATAACCTTTCTTTTTGTGGACGGTGAGGTGGGGAGGGTGGCATCTTCCCTCTCAGGATAGGAAGGCAGGTCTAGAAGTCTCAGAGAGGTTGTTGCACTGCTGCACTGACACAAAACCTTATATATTTGGCACTGGCTGACTAGCGCCAAAATGTACTGAGATCCAAATGGCCACTGAGAGAGATTTTGACCCTGAAGAATCAAGGGCTTCTATATAAAAAGAAAAAAAAAACCACCCACCCAGCAGATCATACAGCATTTGTTTTTTCAAGATGCAGATGGGAAAGGGAAGAGAAACAAAAAGCACTAGATTTCTTTAACTTTCTACAATAGGAATTTTCTTCATTACAGAATGTAAAGTGCTAATGCTGGGGTCAAAAAAGTTTTGTGTGAGACTATCATTCCACTGCCTGTTTATAAATTTAAAGTTATAAAAACTTTTTAAAGTGTGCAATGAAAGAAGTACAGATGGAAGTTTAGGAGAAAAGATTAAAACAAGAAAAAGAAAAAAAAAATCAAATAATACTTTTTTAGCCTTTAGGGGAAGAAAGTATACACAATCACCTAACCATGGATGTTGACAAAACACTGAAAATGTACTGAAGATAGCAAACAGCAGCAGGAGGCTTCAGCTATGTTTAAAAGAATTAAGGATTGATACAGGCTAGTAACTAGGAAAAAAAAAAAAAAAACACTACCTACAAAACATACGTTACCTGTCAGCCAAAGGCTGCAGCTACTTCAGGCCTTACTAGGATGAAGCTGTTCAGCATGAAGCTAAAACCACAGCTCTTCAATCATGTAAGGATGCAATAGATACTTAATTGATGGTATTTGTTTGGTATTGTTTGAAAACATGGACATCTTTTTTTTTCCTTTTCATTTTTTTCTTCCATTTCCCGGGTTTCTTTGCAAAATTAAATGCACCTCCCTTTCCATTGCCAAGACACTTCCTTACAGTGCTCCAGGCAAAGGCTGCTGCCTTCGAGCGCCAGGCACTGAGCTGGCAGGCTTGGCGGGAGGGCTGCGCGTTCCCTGCTGTGGTGCATGGCTGGAAACTCACCCTTTTCAACCTGGCAACAGCTTCTCCGGAGCGAATGGCAGCCAGGAGGCTCTGGTGGATCTGCTCGGGGTCGGGGCGCTGCAGCTTCGCTGCGGGGCGGCTCTTGGCGACAGCGGGTGGGGGGTCGGGGGAAGCCCCTGCCTGCCCCTGCCCCGGCTGCCTGGGCGCCCGCCAGTGCTCGCGCCGCCACCCCTGCCTGCCCCTGCCCCGGCTGCTCGGCAGCCGCACGGCTGCTCAGCTACCGAGGGACGGAGAGAGGGAAGAACAAAGAAAGAAAAAAACTTTAATCTGAATTAGTCACAAATGGAAAACAAACTCAACCTGGCAAGAAGTTGCATGCCAGACTGTGCCACCATTCTAGGGTTTGCTTCATTCAGGATATCAGAGATCAGCCACATTTCTACTATCGCTCTGGAAACTCTATATTGCCTACAGCACTTAAGATAAACAGATAAATAAATATAAGCACATTAGACACAACACTACGGCATCTTTACATACTCTGAGTACTTTCTTCTTTGAAGTAGCCACAGAATCAAGGAAAACTACTGATAGCCTCCACATGAGCTAGAATTTGTTTTCTCTACCTTTCTTTCACTATGCTTTCCCCTAAGCATCTAAATCTGACCTCCAAGCCTTCCCCAGGAAGAGCCACCCGGAGAATTCAGGAGCGCCCGTGAGCGGCAGGAGCCGAGCGCTGCAGGGGCACACAGAGACACAGCGACTGAGCAGAGACGAGCTCGCGGCTCCCGTGCCTGCAGGAAGTGCGGATTATAAAACATCCACGCTTTGGGACAGTGCTGCCTCTTGCCCTCTGAGCTCAGAATCAGAATATCGCTGATATGTACAGAACAGAAAAGGCGACCAGCAGACTTAGGCTCATCTTTTACCTTCACAGAATTTGTGAATATGTCATTATTTCATTGTGAACACTCAGTTCATACCAGTCAGAAAGCAGTTCTGCCAGAGCACCTTAGAACAGCTCTCTGAGTAAGAACACCAAGTATCTTTTTTTGGTATATCTGCATCTGCACATTTGCAGATTGATACGATAGCTGATTATTACTATTTTTGAAGCTTCTATCTTATTATGCTAGTGAAAATTTAATACACCTAGCTTCAGCTTCCTTATGCCATGATCACTTTGAAGCCAAACTCTTCGCATTGCTCACAGAATTAGATCTGAGATCAGTAAGTAGACAGAACCATAAAGAACAAATCCTGAGCCTTCTGGGCATAAAAAAAAGGTATACGCCATGTAAATGACTCCATTTTTTTTTTCTCTTCCAACTACAAGATTTTAATTATGGCAAGAAATAATTATTTCTAATATTCCGAACAAGGCTGTTTTCATTGTAATATTTCCTTTTTTCTTTAATTTCATTAACATGTTGCACAATGGCTCAATACCACCAAATTTTTATGGTATCAATACAGCATCTTCTGAGAAGCAAGCAGTTCAAAGACTAGCCAGGGCAAATCTCTCCTCTGCTGTAAAGGAGATCCCAGTGGATCAGTGTCTCCGGCATATTAGAAATAGGGGTTACCTTATCCGTGTGGCTGGTTTGTGACCCTCCTGTTACGCTCGGCAAGGAAGGGTTTTTCACTGCAGGGACGGAGGTAGCCAA